CAAGACTTGCTTCCATACTTTAAGGGCCATTTGCCAAACACATGAGCACAATTTACATTAAGCAACCGTTCCAGCAGTTTCACTGGTGTCACATAGAAATGCTAAGTATTATGTATATGTCTAAATGCAACATTGAATGAATCATAGCAACATAATACTTCAAACTTCATTTCCAATTTTTAAAAAAGACTATTTCTAAAGTAGGCAGAGACTTTAGATGGATTTCTTTTATCCAGACATGCATCCTTTGATTAAGAAATTATTTTTGAGCATTCTCCACTGATGTCCAATACACCATCCTAGCTAAAGCACTGCCACACTCTAACTACTTAAAAACCAGACTGTCAGTTTTATCTCCACTCTTTTGAGGTTGTCTTTCTTCAAGATTATGGTCTCAGTCTCTCTTAAGATCACTTTAGCTGAGTAATTCCCAACTGACTTTCTCACTAGTAACCAATATCTGGTATAATTACCACACCAAAATACCCATATCTGTGGGTTTTCTTTCATACTGAGATGTAAGGATCAGAACAGTCACCTGACCCACCATGACATGACACTCTCCACAACTAGTTACTAGACTAACGTGAGATCTGGGAAGGACACAGTGCAAGAAAAAGTAAATGCAATGAAAATTGTGCCTGAGGGAGGCAGCTTAATAATGAATCCATTTGTTTTAGCTCTTCCTCTACAGAAGTCTGTGCAACTCCTTGGTTAGATAATTATCTGCCTTTGAACATCAAACCTCTACTGTGGATGGCTTATCTATCCTATGACCAGTCCTCTCCAATGTCCTCTGTCCTATGACCAGTCCTGGGAGCCTTAAAAGGATTAAGGTATTTTGCAGGAAGGATCATCACTCCCAAACATCTCTCAGTCTGTAATGATGAATTTATCTCCTCTGTAGACCAGCAATAAATATATACAAATAACATGGGAACATATAAAGGGTAGCGAGCAGTTTAATTTACAGTCCCTTAAACCACTTGATGCAGATGTACCCACTAAATCCAGCAGGATCTTAAACCACAGAGCAGTGACAGGAGCGAGCAGTACAAGTGAGAACACCTGTGTACATACCACGGTGCTCCCATTGTGCATGTTGTGTGTGTCTTTATGGGCGTGGGCACAGAAGTCAATGCAGGCTGTCACCCCTGAGAAGGGCCGTCCGTCCTTGGAGCCCAGCCGACAGTCTGGGCCCATGTGCTCATTTTCCACCTAAAAGTAAAGGAAACTACAGGTACTTTGGAATGAAAATCAGCGACTTGGAACCCCACTTGTGGCAGACTCAATGCAGCCAGGAATAATGACCAGAAAGCATGGACTTTCCTAGTGAACATGCAACACTTGTTCCTAGGAACAGCAACCAGCTGTTAACAAGATGTAAGAGCTCGGTCAGAGCCAAGATGTCTTGATATAAAGAAAACATTTTATTTACAGTATTATCTCTAAGCCTTTTCCACGTGCATGGCTCAAGGCACAACTAAACAGTTGGTTGAAATAAAAAAGGGGGCATGTTTCAAAAGCAGCCAAATGGAAGAACTGCTGTAGGTCAGTGAGGGGATTCACCACATGACTGGTGAAGAGCTGCTGGCCATCAGCTGTGGAGTTTCATCTGTTTTCAAATTATGCTTTCTGTTCCAAACAACAGCTACACTAGTTGACTCTCACAGACCTACCTGGTTCTGGAAAGCTTCAGGAGCAAGCTTTTTGTAAACTGGAGCCACATCAGTAGCTAAAGTTTGCAAATTGTTTTCAAGAAGTTCCTCCTGCAGAGAAAGGCAACATTTAGAGTGCTGTCATTTGCTTTAAAAGAATCTAATTCAGCTTAGGGATGCCTGAGAAGTCAGCAAAGCTAAGGAAGTCTGCCTCTATTTTATATTGTATTAATCTGACCTACGTTCTGCTGCCTTTAGGCACCAACCATAAATAACTCTACTGCTGCATGACTAAGTTACAAAAATTGTTACATATAAATCAACCATACAACATTGGAGGATACCTGCTAGGGTGAAGAAACCCAACACACAAGGAACTAATTTCTCCATCCTTTCCCTCTTCCAATACCCTAGACTGTCAGGGAATGAAGTATGTTCCACAGAAAACAGAATTAACATCTAGGAGAGAAAAATTATACCCTTTGCTGAGCGGAGGTAGAACCCCAGGTCTTCTTGTAGTATTTTGCTTGTGGGACCTTTATGTCAATCCAATTCCATCCAGACCCATCAATTTATGGATGTCCAGATTGCTCAACTGATCCCTAACCCAGTGCTCATCTACCAAGGCAAACTCCTCCTTCATCCTGACTTCTTGGGCTTTAGGGATCTGGGGCTCCCAGGGAGAGTCTGCAGCAGTAAAGACAGAGGCAAAGAAGGCATCAGTACCTCTGCCTTCTTTATATCCTCTGTCTCCAGGGCACCCACCTCATTCAGCAGTGGACCTATATTGTTTCTAGCATTAGTTCTATCTGCTATGTATTTGAAGAAGCCCTTTCTATTGTCTTTGACCTCACTAGGAAGGTTTAGTTCCAAGGAGGCCTTAGCTTTCCTAATTGACTCCCTACATCCTCTGACAACTGTCCTATATTCCTCCCAAGTGGCCAGCCCTTCCTTCCATGATCCATAGATTCTCTCTTTCCACTTGAGTTTGCTCAGCAGTTCCTTGTTTAATCATGCAGGTCTCCTGGCTCCCTTACTTGATTTCCTACCCACTGGGATGCTCTGATCATCCCCCTCTCAGCTGCAGAATCCAAAGAGGCTTTAAAACAAATCCCATGGAAAAGGGGAAATAAGGGAATGCACTTTTATGTTACACATCTAGAAAATGTCCTGGTTAAGTAATCTTCCCTTTTAAGCAACTGCTTTTCAACTGAGGTAGAAGGCATTCTCCTCGAAAAATGTACAGGTTACCTCTCAAGGGAGCAGACCAGGCAGCTCTCATGAGGTTGTTCATCTCTAGGTGCTGCTGTGCTTGACCAAGTGTCCAAATGGAGCTCAGGGTGGTCATTTCACAGACTCCGAGGAAGCGATACCACTTTGCAGTCTCAAACAGCATATTCTGATCACAGACTATCTATCTGAGCTCTTGTAAGAGATCTGGCACAGCCTGATATTTCGGTAGACCATAGAGAGGAGGGGGGCCACCTTTGTTTTTTCCCCAGCTAATGTTGTTATAAACATCAGAAGCCTACAGAGAAAACACATGCACAGAACAACTCCCTGCACAGCACTAGCCAGGAGGAGAACCTAAAAACACAGTATCTGGGAGAATGCACAAGGACAAAGGAGAAGGAGCAGGATTCCTAAAATGAAGGAATGCCCAATAAGCATGGTTTTCTAGAAACTGAAAATTTGTAAAACAAATTCCCTCTTGAGACATACAAGGCTCTTTTCAACTTCTGCTGCCTTAGTCTGTAGGCAGTGGGAAGGACAGGAGGGCCGCGTGTGTTCTGTGCTGCTGAGGCACAGGTCCCCCACTTGAAGTGCTAGTGAGGTCTGTGAAGACCCACAGCACAACTCAGAGGAAGCTGAGGGCTCTGCCCTCATCCACATATGCATGAAAGGTACTTAGTCAACTCTTGCAGGAAAAAAAAGAGGACTTGAGAGGAATATTGAGTCCAGTGACTCAAATGACATCTCTCTGTTCCAAAAAAGCAACGTTTCACACTGTGTATGCATATGCATGTGCACACAGTACCCATGGAAAAGGCAAAACCACCTCTGTTCCCATCTGGACTCAGCTGGCGGGGGCTGTTCCATGGCTGGCAGCAGTGGAGTGCAGGAGCTGATAGGGGCTTAGAGACTTCTATAGCCTGAACAGAAGGCATGGGGAGCTACCCTGAGGGATATATGATCATCAGGCAGCAGTTATCAGCTTACAACACCTTTATTCCTTCTACATGAACATAATTCCCATGTAAAAAATTAATTTGGTTGAGTTTGGTTTTTCTGAGGTTTGTTACTTGCCATAATCCATCCCTGTTTTCTGTGCTCTCTCAGCTTTATGTCAGCACTGACACTCAGCAGCAGCAACTGCAGTAGCATTTCACTGCACACTTGAGTGTATTCATTCCTTCAAGAGCATTTACAAAGCACACTGCCCACAGAAAAAACAGTTTATTCTAGGCGGCAGACAGAAGCCCAGGCCGTCAGCTGCTTAGACAGCAGTGTGAAAAGCAGGGCAACCTGAGGTACCATGTTTTCTACCACAAGGCAAAATGACTGAACTTCTGAGGTGCAGCCTCGGTGCTTAGACAAACCTTTAACTGTGTTTTATACTTAGAAAGAATTAACATTTGGTACAGAATTACACAGTGGAGCTAAATATGCATACAGAAAAGCACTTAAGGTTAATTTTAGGGTATTTAAATACATAGTAAACAACACTGAGTTTTCATACAGTGGAAAAATTATAACTACTAGAGTAACAAAACATTTACTTGGGTGCCTGTGTGCTAAGCTATGCACACATATGAGAGAGAAGGGGTGGATATCCATAGATTCAACTTTTAGTTCTGAAAATCAGAGTAAGTGTTTGGAAGAAAACAAAACAATACAAGAAAAAAATAAATCTTACTTGTTTAGGGTCATCAGTGAGAAGCCTGAATTTCCTGGGGTTTTTGCTTCTGGCAAACTTACAGCCATTGAAATACATACTCCATGAACAGCCAAATGAGAACGATGCTCCACAAGTTTCTGGATCAAGTCCTTGACATGCACAAGTCCGACTATGAAAGGAAACAGACACGTCAAGTCAGCTGATTATGCAGCTTTTTTTTTTTGGGTCAATGCTATTTGCCATTTCTTTTATTATATGCAGTATAACAACCCAGGAATTTAAAAAAATTAATGGTTTAACCAAATCTTTTCTGTCAAGCAAATATCAATGTGTAGAGGACTGACCTTTTCCCCCATTAAGACATACATAACACTTGGTAATATCTGTATATATACACCCAAGCTACTCTGAGTTTGACTTCTCCAGTTTGGTAAAATCTTTATCCAAGAAAATACCACTGCTACGAAGGGTTACCCCTAAATTAAATAATTCATTTGTAATGTGCAGCAATACCATTAGCTCCAAATGGATCTAACTTCCAAAGTGGAACAACTTAGCCCTAGGCTTTAAGAACACAAGCATTAGATCCAGGTCACTGTACAGGTATCAGAGTCTGCTAAATGTGGGCTACACAAATATCAGCATGAAGGCAGCACTGCCCAATGCTCAAATGCAATTAGTCACCTAGTCACAGAATCACAGAATTGCTGGAGTGAGAAGGGACCTCTAGAGACCATCTAGTCCAACTCTCCCACTGAAGCAGGATAACCTAAAGCACTTTACACAGGACAGTATCCAGGTGGGTCTTGAGTATCTCCAGAAGGGGACTCCACAACCTTCCTGAGCAGCCTATTCCAGTGCTCCATCACCATCTCTGTAAAGAATTTTTTTCCTCATTCTCATTTCCTCGTCCTCATTTAAATGGAACTTCCTATGTTCTAACTTATACCTGTTGCCCCTCATTCTGACACTGGGAACTACTGAGAAGAGCCTGTCTCCATCTTCCTTGTACCCATCCTTTAGATGCTTATATACATGGATAAGGTCTCTCCTGAGCCTTCTCATCTCCAGGCTCAAGAGTCCCAGCTCTTTCAGCCTTTCCTCATAAAGGAGATGTTAGAGTCCCCCTATCAACTTCATCACCCTCCTCTGGACTCTCTCCAGTAGCTCCCTGTCAAACTGTGCAGCCCAGAACTGGATGCAGTTCTCCAGCTGTGGCCTCACCAGCACAGAGTAGAGGGGGAGAATGACCTCCCTCAACCTATTGGCCACACTATTCTTTATGCATCCCAGGATTCCACTGGCCTTCTTGGCAGCAAGAGCACATTGCTGGCTCATGGATAATTTACTGTCTATAAGGACTCCAAGATCCTTCTCCTCCGAAATGCTTTCCAGGAGATCCACCCCTAACCTATATTGGTGCTTGGGGTTCTTTCTTCCTAGGTGCAGGACCCTATATTTGCTCTTACTGAACCTCATGAGGTTCTTCTCTGCCCAGCTCTCCAGCCTGTCCGGGTCACACTGAACAGCAGCACAAGCCTCTGGAATGCCAGCCACCCCTCCCAGCTTTGTATCATCAGCAGACTTGCTGAGGATATGCTCTGTCCCCTCGTCCAGACCACTGATGAACATGTCGAACAAGACCAGACCAAGTATTGATCCCTGCGAGACACCACTGGTTACTGACCTCCAACTCAACCCTGATCCGTTGATCACCACCCTCTGAGATCTGTCACACAGCCAGGTCTCAATCTACCTCACTGTCCACTCATCAAGCCCACTCTTCCTGAGTTGCCTAGCAAGGATGTCAATTAAAGTAAACCTTCTCAGAGGCAGAGAGAGGAAGATCCTGACTTTGAGTGTTCAATCTCTCATTTATATAAAAAAGCTACATAAGCACCTCAGCAGCTCATCAGCATGGCCGTGTGTGCCAGGGGCACACTGACTGTGCCTGGACTTTGTCCCTGAATATGTGCATTTAGAAACGTTAATCCGAAAGGCCTGGTCCCTAGGAAAAGCCAGGAACTACATTTCATACCGGAATGGCACCTTGTAAGTCTGCAGTTTTACATGAGCTTCTGTGCATTTATTTTAGGAGCCCAACTATTGAATTGGCAAGTTCTTTACTGCAGACCATTCAGAAGGCAACACAGCAATCACTCCCTATGAAGGCAACTTACTCTTCGTTGAGGGCACATCTGCGGCTGGTGGGACAGCCATACTTTCTGAGACTCTGTGTCAGCTCCTTGTAGAGTGTGTCAGCCAGGAGATGGGGGATCCCTTCCCAGGCCAGGATGAGGATCACAATGACAGCAGTTTGGCAGTGGTGTCCTGCACGCTGACGGACCAAGCACAGCAGCTTCTCCTCATCACTGCTTCTTCGGATCACCTGGAAGAAGAATTTGGTTTTATTCTTGGATAAGCATTTTCTAACACAATATGTTACTCTTTGGGACATGCAAGGCCTGGAAGAGTAAGGAACACTGTTGCCCAGAGAGGGCCCATCAGCAAGCAGGACCAGAACAGCATCACACACTGATCTCTGGTGTAGAACATGATTTGGCATTGCCCTTTTACCTGTAGAAGAAATAGCAGTACATTTTTACAGGAGGAGGAATATTTTAGGTGTTCTACACAAACAATAAAGAAGGTGGATTAAGAGGAAAATAACCATTAGAAGTAAGTAACAATACTGAGACAACAGATCCACTGCAGACCTAACATTTACATTGAAAATAATACTGAAAACATACTGCCAAAACCCAGAAGGCAGGTACAGAAAAGCACATCACAAAAGCACTTGTACACATGGGTTAGGATGGTTACCACAGTCAGGGACTATAAAAGCAGGAAAGCAACTGAGTTTTACTCACTCTCTGAATACCTGAGTTCTCCCAGATCCCGTTTGCCTGCTGACAAAGCTATCACTTACATGTGACCCCTAGCCTCATCAGCTACAAATGTGAATTATTTGAACTCTTTAAAAAGTGTGGACCAAAGTAAACTTGCAATTAATCTGCAAATTAAAAGCTTTTCCATAGAACAGTCTCAGAGGGAAGCAGTACAGGCTTAGCAGGAAGAAGCAAGCTTAATTTGTGTCAAGGGAGAAAGCATCACCCTTCTAAAGTTAATCATACAGCCTTTCAGACAGCCTCAGGCTTAATGAGAACACAAGTAAAGGGATCTGAGACACCACTCCTCAAAAGGAGCCCTGGTTGTGACTGACCAACCAGTATTTTTTTATAAAGAAAGAAAAATAATTTACCTTTGAGTGAGGTTTACAGAAAATCTATTATGGCTGATACACAATAGAGGGTATATCAGTGTGAGTTTTATAGTTCTGAGGCAGCCCAGCTCCTTCCAAGTCAAAAGAATTTAATTTTGTTACTTGGCATGAAGGGTGATGCTTTTAATGTTTTTCTTTTATTTTCTTTCTAGACTTTGTAACATTTCAATAAAGAAATCTGGTACTACTTAGTTTCTCAGTACAACATCAGGTTGCCCTTTTTGGATTCTCATATCCCTCTAAACTGGAAATACACAGTCCAGGAAAAATGACAAATGGGCAGGAAGAAAATTTATAGTTTCCTTTAAACTAACACCACACTTCCCTGGAGCTAAACACTCTTGGAACTTGCTTCATTATGCAGGCAGAAGAGAATGCAATATTCTTATTGGAGCCAAAACCACTTTACAATCCATCATCTTTTAGGCCACAAAGGTATCTAGTGGATTTATTAGTTGTCTGAACTTTATTTCTGTGGCTCTTAGGAGGTTACACTGTGTGCTCACCTGACACCACATCTGGAGTGCTCCTCTCCTTTTGTTACCAGAAATAGGGACTTTTCTCACCTGACCATTTCGGACTTCAAAGAGCACAACCTGCCCCAAAACCACCAGTCCCTCCAGGCATGCAGGCAGGGACAGTGCAGGCAGAGCTGGAGCTGTGCTGCCTTTCCACACCAACTGCCCATGACCCTTCACATACCTAGGCTGACCTTCTCACAGAGGCAATAAACACAACTAACTGCCCTCCCATTTACTTGATGGAAAGGTCACATTTGTTAAATTCATACAACAGGAACACTCTCTTGATATCATCAGAAGAGTAGAACATAGAAAATTTCAGCTTACACTGTAATTCACTTTGTTTTCAGCATGCATTTGACAGTGTCCTCCTCAGTAAGGCAAATGAGATTAGTACACTGCCACAGCCAAAAAAGATGACAGTAATGCAATTTATTCATCAATCCTTCATGCAATAATTTAAAAGGTGTATTTATTTGCTATGAAAAATTTGCAAACATAACTACCAGTGTACTTATTGTTCAACTATGAAACACTGAGATGCCCAATAGTAAGTCAAACATGGAACAAATAGAGCAAGTCCCTGAATGTTTCCTCAGACTGAACAATGCACAAATCAGTTGGCAAATATTGCGTCCAGAAGTTGGCACTTCATGATTTCTGCGATGTAGTTAACAACAGTGACACAGTAAACCATTTAATACTCCAGTCTGATCAGTTTTGGTCCCTAATGCATTTAAAAGGAATGAGAAAATAAACATTTTTCAGTGGTGAAACTTCAAAGCTATGTTTTTAAAATGGGAAAATAAAAACCTCCCCTGCAATTGCTTTTCCACACAAAATAACCACACCTTCCTAGTGACTCACATAGAAAAATAATATAATCAACAAAACAGACTTGTATTATGTTTGTAAAGTATTGTGTAACACTTAAATGTCATATGCCCTCCTTTGTGCAGGTATGTAGGGCCAGATTATCCCTGAACTCATTTTAGCAAGCACTAGTTACCATCAGCACTGAGTATCCATCAAAAGACAACACACTGGCAATGAATGTTTCAGCCACAGGGCAGCACTTCTGGAAAGCAAAAAGACCTGACCAACTCACCCATGAGGCCTGACCAATACCTCTCAGTCCTGCTCTGCACTTAGGCCACTGGGGATGAAGTTATATGGCTACCCTCTGTCTCACCTGTTTGCTAACATAACCATGTCTAGGACAAAAGGAAAACTGAAATGGGACACAGCTCCTTCCAAATAGCTTTCTTACACACATACATATTTGGACTCACAATATCACAAGTAACATCCTTGGAGGTTCCTTTTAGGTTGCTGATCTGGGCAGGAAGCTCTTTAAACATTCTCAAAACCAAGTTTTGTATGTCCCTCTGGTGCTCTAGTTGGGCACCCACCACTGTACCATGCCCATTCCACATTCCTATGGCTATGCATGTGTTCTTGTTCACATGTACATCTAAAGGAAGGCACTAATTCAAGTAGTTGATTTTATTAGCTAGTCCAGATACTCTCAAATGGCAGAATCTGAGAATATGAGCCAGCCTTCAAGGTGAGCCACAGCCAGCCAGCTTGGACAGAAACACTGTCAACACCTATTATTGCAACAGCACAGCTAAACCTCTGTTTCTACAAGCTACAAAGGCAGAAGTTAACCCAATTTTCTTAACAGAAAGCATGAGCCAAAAGTTTAAAGCATATTTAGTGAAGAGGTGCCATACACAGCAGAATTTGATATGGCAATTCAACAACAAACTAGAGGATAAACAAGAAAAGTTAGTTTTTAATTCTCTCACACCCAAGAAGAGATGGTGAAGAGACAGAAAGGGATGCTAAAAATTAAAGATCACAAGAACAGGACAAAGACAGAGGAGTGGACTGCCCAGCCTTATCCTGATCCTGACAGTGACTAACAACTATTGCATACGCATGAGTAGTAAGAAGGGCACTCAGATGCAGAGACACTCCTCAACAACCAGCAGGCACCTCCCAGCCACCTATCTGCAGCTCAGGGACCTGCTCTCCTCCCAGCTTTTGAAGGATTTGCCTTCTGTGCATTTGTCCACTCCCTTCTAAATCTATGTAGCATTTTACCATCCACTACATTCCTGGAGAAAGTCTAATTACAGACTTTACAGAAAGAACAAACATTACCTTTTCTTTGTGCTGAGCACATCCTCTGTGCTAGTGTCCTCTTGTTTCTGATACAGGTTGAGACTGGAGAGCAGATTGCTGTTCAGCTCTCCATGCTGCCAAAGACTGAGAGAACCCTCCATTCTCCCCTACCCTCTCTGCCAGGCTGAGAGTCTGTAGCTCCACCTGTCTCTCCAGTTCTGTTGTGCTTTCTTGAGGAACCAGAACTGGACAGTATTCCAGACTGAGGTGCAGCATGCTTCCTCACAGAGGCATAATTACATTTCATGTTTTCTTTATTCCTCCCCAGTAATTTTCACCAGTTTCTTTTGCTGTTTTCCTCACTGCTGAACACTGAAACTACTGTCTACTGAACTGTTACCCCAAGCAGTGACACTCAGCCTAGTGGCCATCACTTTGCATATGGAACTACAACACTGCTCTTTGTGTAACTTTATCACGTCAGTTCTACCTACCATTTTAGTGGCCATTATGTCTGGATCACAAGTCCTACCTGCTCCTCATGATAGCTGTCCCTCCTCTTCACTGTCCTGAATAACTTTGTAACATCAGCAGTTTGTAACTTCGGTGTGTCCCACTTTTTTCAAAAAACTTCTGAATACATTGTACAGCATCAGTGAAGTTATACTATTAATAAAACCTGCTTCAGCTGTCCAAATGCTTGACTTGGTTCTATTATACGATTCTGTGACTTCTACTTACTTGAATTATTTCTTTTAGATTGTTGAAGCAACTGTCTCAACCCTTGGCAGGAGCTCTGGAACAAGGAATAAGTACACTGTGAATAAAAATTACTGTGTCCTTCAACATAAGCCAGTCTATCTAAATTAACATGTACATGACTTATGTGAGTAGCTAGGAGTCAGACTGCAGAAGCTTAGCATAATATATGCTAAATTACCATATGGGTGAGAAATTACTTTCCAGTTTAGGATCACCAGAATAGTTGTGTTAACTTTAACATGATATAAACCAGACACCACTAGCAAATAGTACAAAATTTTAATTGCAAGTTAAATACATGTCTGTAATTACAGGATTAAAAAAAAGGAACCAAGAAAAAGGTCCTTTTAAGGTTTTTTTCACCTCCAGGTGATCCTCTGCAATGCTCCCTCCAGCCCATTCTGAATTTTCTTCAGTAAAGTAACTATGTCTCCTTTGCAGGTACTTGTAGCTCATTTTGAAGTGAAAACACAGCTTAACTAATCACTGTCATTTTCTGAACTAAATGACTCATTTAGAACAGTTTTCTAACCTGCAGATTTTGCCTCTGCACAAGGTTTGTGCAGGGAGCCCTCACCACGCAGGCTGAGCTACAACCTTTAACTCATCCTTTCTGAGTTACAGTTCCTTAACAACCTGCACCAGTGAAAAGTAGGAGCACAGCACTGCTGAAAACTGCTGCTGTTCCAG